TGAATAAAAATGACAATAGGAAAACTGGTAATTGCTGACGCGTTTCATCCAATGTGGACTTTATCAAAGCAAAATACGAAAATGAAATTAAATGAACAAAGCAACTAATAAAAACAAAATCAGAATGTACCTAGCAACTGGAATGTAGAGAAACGCTATTTTCATATTTTTTAACTGAAAAATAACGTCAGAGATTAATTTACGCCCAGGCCTTTTCCCTATTTCACCTTTCTTAACAAAATTAATGCTCTTACAAACAAATATGCACAACAGATTCATAAAATCGAAAGAAAATGGTTGAATACATCAACACAGATATAATGACAATATTCTCCTCACGTGACAATCTCGTTATTTTTCAGTTAAAAATATGAAAATAGCGTTTCAATATTCTCCTCACGTGACAATATCGTTATTTTTCAGTTAAAAATATGAAAATAGCGTTTCTCTACATTCCAGTTGCTAGGTACATTCTGTTTTTGTTTTTATTAGTTACGTTGTTCATTTAATTTCATTTTCGTATTTTGCTTTGATAAAGTCCACATTGGACGAAACGCGTCAGCAATTACCAGTTTTCCTATTGTCATTTTTATTCATAAATATTGTCTTCTCTACCGATTAAATCGGAGAATTTTTCATATATATATATATAAATATATATATATATATATATATATATATATATATATATATATAGCTAAGTCTTAAAACATTTTATTTACTATATATATATATATATATTCTGTATATTTAGGCTGCAGTTTTTCATTAATGCATGTTTCATTAAAATGAATTTTTCAAGCAGCAAGGGTGGGCTATCATTGTAGTTTCGTTCGTGTGTTGTTTCATTTGTTGGAATTGTCATCTTGTCATAATGGCTTATGTAAGCCGAAATCTTAGATTGGATTTAAGCATATATCAATATGGTGATTTCCTTTCGTCTTTATCAGACAATATGAAAGGAACTTACTTAAAATAAATAGACAAAACCTGTCTATATTATTTAATGAAACATGCCTTTATATTTGTTTGAATAAAAGACAGACCACGTTAAGATTCCATGTAATAAGCTATTTCACCATAACCCCTTTAACAGGGTTCTGGATCATCAGACTTTACTTCCAAAAGCTGAAATGAAAAATGAAAAGAAATTCACACGTTTTTTACGGACCTCCACAAGTATACGCAAAAGTTAACGAAGTGAGGAAGTGAGGTGGGAGAGGAGGATATGAGTGTGTCATATGTATCATTTCAGTTTCCTATTTTTAACCCCAGTGTGTCGGCTGGGTGTTGCTCAAATTTAACGCGTCTCGTCTCTAGATAAAGGTGGTTAAGGGGTGAGCGATAAGAACTACATTAAAGGGAGACGTTACAACAACCCCAATAAATTACACGACAGGTTTCATTCAAATTCTTAGACGCTGTCAGTTCGCGTTACTTTAACGTGCATATTTGGGAGGTTAAGATTTGATAAATATCTAAATTTTAAAACAATCTACGAAGAAATTAATTTGAAATTCGGTGGAGTTTTGGGTATTTTCTATGAAGCAGTCGATTGGAAGAATCCATAGACAGAACATTGAAAGAGTAATCCAATTTATATTTAGTACTTTTTTCCACTAAAACTTTTATCTTATAGCTTGTTAGGTTGACATTTATTCGTTTGATTTTTGTTCATTAAGTAAACTCGTGATTGTTTTTGATTTTTGTTCATTAAGTAAACTCGTGGTTGTTTTTGATTTTTGTTTATTAAGTAAACTCGTGGTTGTTTTTATGTACCCAATTATCAACAGTTATTCCCATTTAAATAATTTTATTTTCCACATTGGGGTAGTATCTTTTAATCTCAATTAAAATACTAATCTAAACTTTCCCTTCGTGCTATTTAAAATTCACTCTCTCTCTCTCTCTATATATATATATATATAATTATTTTTTCTAAAAAAAAAATTATAACATAAGTATGTTATAAAATCACTACAAAAAATATATATATATATATATGTATGTATGTATGTATATGTGTGCGTGTGTGTGTAGTAAATAAAATGTTTTAAGACTTCGCTGCCAAAATAAATCTGCACTTCACGGGCAAGATACATCAATTGAATTTATTCACTTGACAAACTTTTTTGAACTTGGTTTACAATGAATACTCTATTTAATAGTGAGCACTTTACTTTAAAAATATCTGCTTATCGTAATAAAAGTTATCCTCCCGTAATATACAGGTCAACGTATTTTTAGACGTAAACACTCTTTGGTACTAATAAATAGACACACACACATGTATATGTGTGTGTGTGTGAGGGTGGTGGGGGGAGATGATGAGATAAAGAGGAAAAGTTTATAAAAGACGTGTTTCACCGACGTCTGCTGAGTTTGGCTTTCTTCATGTCGGAATGAGATGAAACTGTGTGTAAGCAAAATGTGTTGAGATTTTTGAGGATATGAGAGACAATAAATTGAATTACCTTATCAGATCCGACGAACAGAAACCAGAAAGTGTTTGTTTGTTTCGGATACTATTATACAAGCTACACACGTGCACGCAAATACAAACACACACATACATTAAATACAAGTTTTCCAAGTTACAAATAATCCTTCTCGGACAAGGAGAAAATTCCGGCAGAAATTGTTCGAAGTTCATTTCGGAAGAACAATATAGAGAATATTATCCAAGGTTTCGACTTTCATCAGCCATCATCAGGATAGGTAGAGAAAATTGGTGAGTTTACTAAAATTTTGAAACCTGATTTTTACTTCGTCGAGCAATAAATTTAACCGACACAAAATGAATCCACCACTTCTCCCCAAGCTACGGGTTAATTAGCAACACTTGTATCACAAAACCAGTATTAAAAATTTCTTAAAATTATTTTCTAGTTTTAAATATCTGCTAAGTGTTGGTAAGCCGTAGAAAACGAATCAATCAATCGCCTTAAACAACTAGTTCAATGCACAGAATATATATATATATATATATATATATATATATATATATATATATATATATATATATATATATATATATATATATATATATATATATATAAATAAAATATAAACGTAGCAATAACTGATACATTAAATTATAGACATATTGAAAACCCAGCCACCCCTGTCTAGAAAAATAGATTTATCTGTAACCTTGGAAACATGAATTTTGTTTTAGCTGTGTCTTTAAAACCCAGTAATTTTAAAAAGTTTCTTCAAAATTCGCTTGAGGATGAAATGGAACTAATGTCTTTAATTTAATCACAAAATTAAATTCGTGGCTTTTAGCTTCCATTTTTGAAACATGGTTAGGACTGTGTAGCGAAAAAAACCATATTTTAAATCAATTAATTTATAATATTATATATGTTATATATATATATATATATATATATATATATATATATATATATATATATATATGTATGTATGTATGTATGTAAGCTTTTCCTCTTTGTCTCATCATCTCCACACACACACACACACACACACACACACACACACATATATATATATATATAGTTAATAATAAAAAAATCCTTTTATCTCATATTGGGTATATATATTTTCGGCCGACGACGAAAGTAGACGTCTCTCTTTTCAACTCCGTTGTGGAAATATATATATATATATATATATATATATATATATATATATCCCATGCAAAATTAAATTATTACTTACATTGTACAATATAACGGATTAACTATCTATCTCTGTTTCTTAATGTTTCTTTATTTCTTACACTTAAAATCTCGTAATTCGCGGTATCATAGCTGTGGTTCTACTTATTCGCGGTTCTATTTATTCGCGGTTTCACTTATTTGGGTTCTCCTTATTCGCGCTTTCACTTATTCACTGTTTCACTTATTCGCGGTCTCACTTATTCGCGGTTCTACTTGTTCTTTCCTGTTCATTTTTTTTTAATTTAACTAAAAGTAATCTAGCAATATTTCAAACGAGGAAAATAACGACAACAACAAAAGTCACCGACTTGACATAAATCCGTAATGTCCTCAAAACCAAAACGATTTCTGTCATTAGAAACTGAGGAGGAAAAGTTGAAATGAAAAAAAAAAATGGTTTTATTTGTTGACTACTGAAATAATTTTTGTGAATGTTTAATTTCGTTTTTTACAGTTGACTTGTCGTAATTCACATATATTGGGTTGGCTAAAAAATTCGTACGCTTATTAAGTAGAAGGTTTACGCAATAAGCCTAACAAACTTTTTAGCCAACCCAATATTTCTTACGTTTCGAAAATATAGTATCGATTTCCCGGTGAAAATATGCCTAAAATAAGGTTCGCTCTTATCCGCGCATTTTACCACCCGCCTTCTCTATAATCACCATATTAGCTTTTCTTTTCTTCTTTTCCCTAAACCTCTCTCTTTCCCTGTACACCAACACGCACACATGCATGCATACATGATGCTTATCGATGCGTCAGAAGAGTGTGGCCACTGCTGACAAGTTAAATCTGTGGTTGCTGCATTGATTCCAGAGTTGTGCTTCTCCTTGACTGGTTAGCAACTACGCCTAGAGAGATGTCTTTCCTGTTATTTAATCCATAGCTGGAGAAGAAGATATAGTTTCATACCTTTTTCCAAGGGTATTTGCGCGTAAGTGAATGCAATGAACTCGAATGAAATTCGAACAACTCTGCGATCTCTCATTCCGAACCGCTATCCAATGCATACGTACACACAGAACACACATAAAAACGCACACGCGCACACACACAACACACACACACACGCACACAAAACACACACAAACGCATACATACATACATCCTTACATATACATACATACATACATACATACATACATACATACATACATACATAAATAAAGCTTTACATTCAATGTTGCAGTTTAGAAGAAAATTTCTTCTTTCATTTTTGTAAATTCCATTTGCAAAAGTCGAGCCTCTTGTGATTGAATAAAAAAATGAGGTTTCTCTGAAGCAGTCAGTACATTTGCATACTTATAAAATATGACGGGACTTTTGCGGTATAAATTTCTTTCTTTTTTGCTTTCTTTTTTCTTTCTTTCTTTCTTTCTTTCTTTCTTTCTTTCTTTTCTCTTTCCTTTTCTTTCATTCTCTTTCTTTCTTTCTTTCTTTCTTTTCTCTTTCCTTTTCTTTCATTCTCTTTCTTTCTTTCTTTTCTCTTTCCTTTTCTTTCATTCTCTTTCTTTCTTTCTTTTCTCTTTCCTTTTCTTTCATTCTCTTTCTTTCTTTCTTTCTTTTCTCTTTCCTTTTCTTTCATTCTCTTTCTTTCTTTCTTTCTTTTCTCTTTCATTTTCTTTCATTCTCTTTCTTTCTTTCTTTTCTCTTTCCTTTTCTTTCATTCTCTTTCTTTCTTTCTTTCTTTCTTTTCTCTTTCCTTTTCTTTCATTCTCTTTCTTTCTTTCTTTCTTTCTTTTCTCTTTCCTTTTCTTTCATTCTCTTTCTTTCTTTCTTTCTTTTCTCTTTCCTTTTCTTTCATTCTCTTTCTTTCTTTCTTTCTTTCTTTTCTCTTTCATTCTCTTTCTTTCTTTTCTCTTTCATTCTCTTTCTTTCTTTCTTTCTTTCTTTCTTTCTTATTTTCTTTCTCACTCATATGCACATATTGTATAGCTCTATCTGTTTAGGCTCACATTTTTTTTTCTTTACAAAAGTAAACATCGTTTTCACAAGATATTTCCTGTTTGTTTTTCCTTTTCATCTCTCCATTTATTTGTCTTTCTCGTCTCCCTTCTTTCTTTGCTAGTTGCCCACCTTCCTCTCTGTCTCACCCTCAAAGTATCTACCTTTCTCTCGTCTTCTTCTCCTCCTCCTCCCTCTCCCTTATTTTCTCCTTTACTTCGAATGTCGCTATCTACATTCTTTTGTCCCCCCCCCTTATCGCTTATATACACGTATGCCGACTCGCATGTTTACTTCTGAAACGTGTCCATTTCAGATTTGTATTGTGTGAAAAAGTAAAAACGACTGAAAACAGCATATATATATATATATATATATATATATATATATATATATATATATATATATATTTTTTTTTTTTTTTTTTTTTAAAATCTATTTTTCTTTTCATCAAATAAAGGAACGGAAGTAAGTTGCACATGCTCTCAATCGTTAAGTTACCGCTTCTGACATCCAACATGGCCATCATGACAGCTGAACTGGTCAAACTCATTCGACAGTCCTTGCAAACAGTCATCGTTTACACACACGCCCGGTTTCATGCCTGCCCACTCTACGTTAGGTGTACTTGTCGACTGGAAATGACTCAGAATCTTACTCCGCACCTCGAAAACAAACTTCTTAAAAAAAAAAAAAAAAAAAGAAAAAAGAAATCCTGAAAAAGCTGTACGTGCAATATTCGATGACAAGAGGACGCCTAGTAATTCACACCCATCAACCAAAATTTTCTATTCGCACTGGTCAACCAGCAAAAAATAGCTTTGAAATTTGAAACTCGATATACAACAAGTACATGTGAGAATTTCACGAGTTGGTTTGATCACTCGGAGGGAAAAAAACGTACTGACCTGTTTTAAAATTAAAAATACCCTTTTGTTTTTAGATGAACTCGTGACGGTCTTACCAGCGGTGAAGTAATGGATAGCGGTTCGGATTGAGGAATCGGAGAGCCGAGTTCGAATTCCAGTCGGATCCATTACATTCACTTACGTGCTAATACCCTTGGGAAAGGTATGAATCCTCTTCTTCTCCCTCCAGCTATGGGTAATTAGCAAGACATCCCGAGTTCTATAACCTTGGATAGCAACTGGTCGACCACAGAAAGAAATGGCAACCTATTCCGAAAAAAAATCTGTCATGTATCGAAAGATACATGATCACCTAAGCATTTATCACGTATGGCACATAACTGACTGAAATTCACTTACGTGCTAATACCCTTGGGAAAGGTATGAATTCTCCTCTTCTCCCCCAAGCTATGGGTAAATATCAGGACAGACCGGGTTCTATAGCCTTCGATGGTAACTGGTCTATAGCAGAAAGAAATGGCTACCTACTGCGGGAAAAAATCTGCCTCGTCAGTCATGAATTGAAAAATACATGATCACCTAAGCGTTTATCACGCATGGCACATAACTGACTTAAATTCACTTACGTGTTAATACTCTTACGAAGGGTATGAATCCTCTTCTTCTCTCCCCAGCTATGGGTAAATAGCAGAACAGACCTGGTTCTATAGCCTTGGATGGCAACTGGTCTACCGCAGAAAGAAATGGCAACCTACTGTGGGAAAAAAATCTGCCTCGTCAGTCATGTATCGAAAGATATATGATCGCCTAAGCGTGTATCACGCATGGCACATAACTGACTGACATACGAATAAAATAGTTTAGCCATTTGGGAGACTAACATATTATAACCTATTTTTGATACTTAACATATACAAGGCTCGAGAACTATTCAAGGTTTTAGATTTGTTTTTTTTAACACTTATCCACCCTTTCTGGGTTATTTAAAGCCGAAACTTATTTTGGGGCTGTAAAAATATATTTTTTTACAGTAAGGGCCACTCGAGGAAGAGTGTTACGTTAGAGGGTTGTTTATATGGATAGGATGGGAAGATGACAGTTAACTCTAGACTTGAACAGGTTAAGATTGTTGTGATTAGGGAAACGTAGTCTTTGGAGTCTGTTCCATGGGGCAGTGTTTCGCTGGAAGAAGCCGTTTGTGTGAAGCTTACTACTCGCCGATGGAATACGGAAGGAATGTGGGTTGTTTGCGACTAAGTGGCATGGCGGGTCCGAGCCGTGAAGGTCAGGCCTTGTGGAACCAGGCACTTTCCATGGTAGTAGCGACAGAGGAGTAAGAGACTAGCTACATCTAACAGAGAGAGAGAGAGAGAGAGAGAGAGAGAGAGAGAGAGAGAGAGAGAGAGAGAGAGAGAGAGAGAGAGAGAGAGAGAGAGAGAGAGAGAGAGAGAGAGAGAGAGAGAGAGAGAGAGAGAGAGAGAGAGAGAGAGAGAGAGAGAGAGAGAGAGAGAGAGAGAGAGAGAGAGAGAGAGAGAGAGAGAGAGAGAGAGAGAGAGAGAGAGAGAGAGAGAGAGAGAGAGAGAGAGAGAGAGAGAGAGAGAGAGAGAGAGAGAGAGAGAGAGAGAGAGAGAGAGAGAGAGAGAGAGAGAGAGAGAGAGAGAGAGAGAGAGAGAGAGAGAGAGAGAGAGAGAGAGAGAGAGAGAGAGAGAGAGAGAGAGAGAGAGAGAGAGAGAGAGAGAGAGAGAGAGAGAGAGAGAGAGAGAGAGAGAGAGAGAGAGAGAGAGAGAGAGAGAGAGAGAGAGAGAGAGAGAGAGAGAGAGAGAGAGAGAGAGAGAGAGAGAGAGAGAGAGAGAGAGAGAGAGAGAGAGAGAGAGAGAGAGAGAGAGAGAGAGAGAGAGAGAGAGAGAGAGAGAGAGAGAGAGAGAGAGAGAGAGAGAGAGAGAGAGAGAGAGAGAGAGAGAGAGAGAGAGAGAGAGAGAGAGAGAGAGAGAGAGAGAGAGAGAGAGAGAGAGAGAGAGAGAGAGAGAGAGAGAGAGAGAGAGAGAGAGAGAGAGAGAGTTGGAAAATAATTCTTCTCCAAGAAGGACTCGGAGACGTTTTCGAAACTCTATAAAAAGAACTGGAAAAAGGTCTGGGAAGGTCCTGCCCAAATATGGCAACATTACTCTATTTTCGGCCTGATATGGCTCTTATAAAGGTAGAAGATAACATAAGGAATCGGGTACTTACTGGAGCGGTACAGGGAACTGATCATTTTACCTGCGTCATTAGCAATGGGTTGTATATAGGAATTTTACTTGAGGTCGAGTGTGCGCTTGAGGTCCAATATCTTCTCAAGGGCCACCCGTTCATGACGACTAGCGGTAGTTCGGTTTTAGAGGCATTGAATATAAAATTTTTTAGCCACTGGCAAGTTGGTATTAGATCGGAAGAGAGGTCAGCTGCCAAACTCTGATCGTCAATACTTTTAGAGGTGGGCCCGTATATCGTCGTATCATCGGCATAGAAGTTTACAAATGATCGGAGTATATTCTTAGGCAGATCATTTACGTAAATCAGAAAGAGGTTTAGTCCGAAAAGTGACTCTGAGAGACGCCTGCGTTGGTCTCCAGGGCCGGGGAGGACTGCTCGTTAATAACTACCTTCAGGGATATACCTGTTAGGAAGTATTTTATAACAGAGAAAATCCTTCCAGTTCATCTATAGCTGGAGAGCCTGTGTAGCAAAACTTTGTGCCACACCATATCGAAGGCCTACGAGATATCTACTGATATGGTCCTTGCAGTAAATGGGTTCTCAAGAACCTCACTAATTCTGTGTGTAATGGTAGTTAGGACGTCAGCAGTGGATCGGGATGATCGAAACCCATACTGCTCGTCGCACAAGAGGTTCATATCCATGTGCTCAACGACCTTATTGATTAACTCTTCAAAGAGCTTACTAATGATACTAATCAGGCCATTGGGTCTATACTGGGAGGCGGAGGATCGGTTGCCCGCGTTCTTGAAGACCGGGCATACGCTTGCCACCTTCCACATGCATGGGAAAATTTTTTACTTCAAGCAGCGGTTAAATAACTTTGCTAGAATCGAGTCGAGGTTTTTGATAAGTCTACACACCTCCCTTGCTGAAATGAGTATTTTACTGAGATTGTGCTCATTAAGACCTGGGAAGTTGGAGAGAGAATGGCCTTCGTCATCCAACTGAGTTTGAGACAAATATCGAGGAGAAGAGCTTCGCCATGTCTGTCGAGGAGGATATGACCTTGGGGGCACTTACAATAATGGGCACATTTCGTAATTTGGTTGGTGATCTTCCAGAATTAGCGAAATCCAATTTCTTTATTTTCAATCTTGGTCTGGACAGATTGCGCGTAGCTGTACTTTGCGTTTTCCAGAACTCTTTTACAGAAATTGGAGAATGTTCTGAAAGATGTAAAGGCCAGACTACACCATTCCTTGCGATAGATTTTCAAGTAGAGGTGTCGGTGAGCTATGGCTGCAGCGCATTCAAGGAAGAACCAGGGCTGACTGGTTTTTGTTGGAAATTTTTTTAGGATAAAACACTCCATTCCAGAAAGGATTCATTCGGAGATTAGGACTGCAGTTTTGGGGGTAGCAGTTTGAAGAAGTTTGTGAGAGGAGCTTCCGTCATGCAGGACCGAAAACTGTTCCAGTCTGCCTCCGCATAGCGAAAAACCGTTCTATGGAACGGTAAATTAGGGAAATTCATTGGTTTGGAGTCAATCTGAGGACGTACTAGGGAATGATCTAACGTGCCAATGGGAGCTAAAACATCAGCTGAACATTTATCAGGGTAGGATGTTAGAAAAAGTTCAAAGAGGTTCGACTGCAGTCTCGTTGCATCCGGAACACGGGTGGGTTCTTCAAGGATCTGCGTTACTTCATATTTTATGGAAAAGTTTCTGCAATATCTGCCTTCCTTGTCGGTTTTGCCGTCCTGGGTATGACGATAAACTACATCCGCGTCCTGATTAGGAGGTTTTGAGTAGCATAGAGCCACATCTTAATTGCTGGTGTTCCCAGGTCCGCACAGGGCCGGGGTGGTAGCACCTGTTAGCGATCCCAGCTATGGATAAATAGTTAACCCTCAAACTGGGGT